TTCTTTTCGCCACAGTATTTAGCTGACCAGTCAGTCATGCCGTAATCTGCCCCTGGAGCTATGCAGACATGCATGCCGATATCAATTTCACATTGAGACTTAATTCCAAATGACGTCTCATCATAAAATGTTTTTAGGCTGAATAGTGTGAAAAAACCTGTTACTAAAGCTCACTATCAAGTTGCCTGATTGCCATGGTAACGAGTAACAATTGGTTCTGGTCTGTTAATACTAGGCAGTATATTTGGTAACTCTGTTACTATGTACGTTGGTGGTCTTCCAGCTCGTGATACTTTTCATGGGCAGACTTTTTTCAGCAAACTCACGAGTGCGAGGTAATCTGCATCATCCCAGGTATGGCTAAACTGTGTGTGGCTCTTCAATATCCTTGGCAGTGCAATATAAATACATTGTATCTTTTATATAAAAATAAACCCTACACCCTCCACTGCTCAATGCCCCATGTGTTTGCTAAAATGGAAGTGCATGTTATTCTCATGCCTAATTGAATAGTCTTGAAAGGAAACAGCATCCCAGAAGTTTATGTTTACCCTCAAATTTGATCTGACGTCATAATTTACCCTATGCTGCCGTCCCAGTACCTTTCTTCATACTGAGATTTCTTTCGTAAGTGGTTGCTGGTCACCAGCAGCTGAGACTACTCTGTCAGTGCTTCAAGACAGGGCAGTATGCGATGACAGGTGCTCATTGGCAGGGGAAACAAAAACCCCAGTCAGTTGCAAATGGTAGCGCTAGACATACCATTCATTTCAACCTCTATGATGGGTCAGTGTTTTACATCAAGGCCAGGCATGTAAGTAGCTTATACAGTAGGAGAATATACCTCTACTTAAATATTCCGTTTTAAATTTGTCAATTTCCGTCAGTCAGGATTATAATTAAAAGCCAAATTGCTGAAAGTAGTTATTTGTAACAGAATTTGTTATTTTGTGGATTTCATTTTCCCCGATTAAGTTTGTATTCAATCGACCGTCCATCAATAATGCCCCTTTGTATGTCTGTAATTTCATTTCAATGTAGTCCCATACAAAGGGAAGTAATTTCACCTACGATAACCTCAAAGTCGCCGAAATGCTACTGATGATTGTACTCTCAACTTGCACTGACAACTGAACATAAATCTAAAAGTAGTAGTTCAGTTGACATACAAATAAAGTGATGTCTGTGATGAACTGGTGAACCGTTGATCACCCTGGGTAATGTCCCTATGTACTATATTAATTTAAATACATGTACTTATATTAAATACAGTATGGAAGTTAGAAAATTAAATCCTCCTTCACGTCTTTGCAATTTCATTTTAACAATGCTCGCGTCAGTAGGTAAACGTGCGAGACATTTAAGTCGCTGCTTGTTGAATTAACGTTAACATGTCGTTGCAAATTTGGCGTGAACATTCTGAGAAAGTTAAATTGCATTCCTGTTTCCTGTCACGGATTTCTATTGTTGCTCTAGTCACAATATTCTTTAACGTTGAAATATTTTGTCTCTTGTTGAAAACAGCAGTATTTGTTATTGCCACTCTCTCATTCTTAACAAAAAAATACTTTAGGTAATTTAATCTGACCTTCTGAAAAAATAAACTATAGAAAGAATTGTTGACAGTTTTGAGTCAGAAAGTAAAATTAAATCAAGATGCTTATTTAACAATTTTAGGTAGGGGGCGATGACTACTATATGTTAGGGGTGGGTGGGGTGGAAGAAAGTGAACTGAATTAACCTATATCACATTGTACTGACATGCATAGTTCATGGGTGGAACCTGGTAGTACTGGTAAATAACCTGTGACGTGTAATTTACACAGCTGATGATACTTAAAAATTATTTATTCACTAATTTAATTATTAATTAAACATTTCTTGTTTAATTAATTTGTACAATTAACAGGATATTTTTAAACATGTATTAAAGTAAGAAATTTCTGGAAACTGATTCCAAAAATCAAAAGGGTGTGTATATCCTGTTGGTATATCTCCACTATTGTGTACTTACAAAGACCCATAGTATGAGTCATTCCACTGGCTGATGCAAAGCATGCTGGGACTGTGTCGGTCGAGGCTGAGTACATGTTTAGCAGTCAGCCTGATTACAGCTGTTTTTGAGGACCTTTCTCTTAATTCTTCTAAAATTCAGTATTCCCCTTATCTTTTACATTCTACAATCTCTACTGAACTATGTGTTCGTGAGTCGGCCAACTGAACAGGTCTAAAGATGGCGGTGGTGAGTTGAATGAATATTTAATGTCGTTGATTGAGTATGTTTGTCATTGGTCGGTAGAGCATATGGTATTTCTTACGTGACTGTCTTGTAATGTGACCACCAAACTGTTCAAATGTTCGGGCCTCCTGTGGGCCATGAGGTGAGGCTTATCTTAGATTGGATTTTAACTGGGGGCACTTAGTCGAGGTATAACTGCTGAGAACCATTAAGCTAATGAATCAACACTATGTAAAGATCTACCTGGAAATAACATGCACCTGTTTTTATACAAGACCTTCAGTTGCTATTAAATAATTTTGTGTTCCTTGTTTGCTTGTTTTTTTGATACTAAGTTTTTGGGTTGTGATGATGTTAGTCTATATTTCCACCATTTCCTGTGTGGCTGGCTAGCTCACCTGTCTTATGTCAACTTTGATAAATGACGGGGTCAAGCAAATAATCCATTGTACGTCAATACAAATGTTGTTTGCACCAACAGTCTTTTTTATGTGTACGGTACAGCAAACACAAAATACAGGATCTCTGCTTCTTTGATTTCTGATTCTCAATCATTGTATTCTACGTGTACGTAGATGGTTTTAATAATTTATGTCTCGGTACAAGTTATGTTTAAAGGAGACCGAGTATTCCCAGCTCTGGGCTGCAGATGGTTAATCTGTTTTACAATTTATCGCATCTTTACACATCTCTGCCCCATTTCTCGTTAATTATTAATTAACAGAGCAATCTATGTCAGTTGTATTCAGAGCTAGGCATGACACTGTAACTGATTCCACATGTTTACTTGCTTGTAGCTGTGTATTGACATCAAAGATTTTGTTTAACCAGTTTTGAGACCTATATGCTTTAGGATAAAAGTGGTGTGAACATAAACACACCGGTAATATCAATAAAAATAAAATTATAGGTGGTGCTTAATTTTTTATTCAAATTCATAATGTTTGGTAAAGCCTTATAATAAAAAAACACTACATATGCTCAAATTATAGCAAATTTTGCAGAATTTAAAATCTGTCCCCATCATCTCTATAGTAGTACAGTGTATATTAGCATACATGTTAAGACGTATTTTATGTCTTCCAGCCACTCTAGTGATATCAATAAAATGCAAATGAGTTGTTCTCAAATCAATAATTCTTTATAATCATTTAATGAAAACATATTGTCCATTTCACAAAGTGTTCATGTTGGTATGGTTCAATACATGTTTCGTTTCACTTTTTTATTGGTTGAATAGGTTATTGACATTAGGAAAAAAACAGAACAGTTATCTGGAGTATCCTCACCTGTTTTACACTTTGCATAATGAAAACGTTAATACTAGGTTTTTTTACAGCCATGTACTAAACATTGCTATTTTTATATCCATTCATCAATTGTCCTACCGGAAATAGTCGCTTGGCTAATGCCTCGGTTTCTTTGGTAACTAGGCATTCCTTAAGCTATCCAGCCTTTCAATTTTTTTTTTTTTTTTCCTTGTACATGTAATCTTGGTGTTGAATAATTTGGTTCATTTTTTTTTTAATTTCCTGAAAATTTTGCAACTACATTGTGATACATGGTTTCAATCATGCGTGTGAGTAAAATATTCCAAATGTCTGTTTAGTGAGAATTGGGTGTTTCTCATTTCAAATCTCTTGTGGGTCCTGGGTTTTGTAATTTCACATCATCATGTGTGTGGTCCTTTTCAGAAACAGTATTGTTTCTAACCGACCTTGATATCATAGTTCCAAGTTAAACAAACACTGTCATAGCTATGAATAAAGATTAGATCTGTCATGTTTCTTGTTGTGACCTACTTGTTAGTTTATGTGCAAAACCAACAAATACTAGATCATAATTATCTTCTAAATAATTCCTTGGGTCAAATTTCTAACAAAAAAAAAAAGAGAAGGAAGCCCTATTCGTGATCAGCTGTCCTATTTAATTTGACCTTGCTTGCTTCAATTTAATCAATGGAGACAAGGTAGTATTCATCCATGAATAACATGCTTAGTCACATGACATGTTTCCAGTATTTATGGAAAAACTAAAAGAGAAGGCTAATTTGCCAAGCCAGCTCAGTTGAATGAATAATCCACTGTGATCCGGATTAATTGGTGTGATTTTACTGAAATTAGACATTTCACAGCTTCAGTGGTAATCTCCTTGTGAGTGGCTAATCCTGTGTGTGAAACATGATGAAAATACTGGGAGAACATTAACCAGACTGCTAATACCTGAAATCTCTTAGACTATCAGTGAGATGAACCTTGTAGTGAATCATATCGTGTGTAATATTATCAGCACACCCCGCAGTGAGGAAGTGGTTGCTAAACTGAACTGAAGTACTCAATATTTAATTGTTGTGTTTGTAAGGTCTTTCATCATAACTGTGATGTCATGAAATACTAAAACAACCCAACCCATAGATGGAGGCAAGTTTTGACTGTTAACATGAATATTACACTATAATTATACAAAGTGTATGGGTCAGCGAGTCTTGATATATTGTACATAGGGCTTAATTATTTTTTGCTAATTGCTAAATTAAAACACAGTGACTATGCAAATTTGACCATAGAATGTATTGTTTCCTTCCTAAAACAGTGAATTTAACGTAGTAGATAACATCAAACCACTAAAATTAAACTCAGTGAATGTAAAGGAGTATAGTATATGTTGTAAACACCCAGCACTTTTTGCTTTCCAAGGCCTGATCATCCATAATCCACTTCAATAATTATTTTTAATGTTTGTTTTTTTTCATTCATTGCAGCGTGTACTGGCCAAAGCTCTATACGAGAATGTGGCTGAAGCCCCAGACGAATTAGCATTTCGCAAAGGCGATGTAGTGACAGTGATTGAACAGAACACCAATGGTTTGGAAGGATGGTGGTTGTGTTCCCTGAATGGCAGACAGGGCATTGCACCAGGAAACCGGTTAAAGTTACTAGCAGGAATGTACGATAATCCGCATGAGTTGCGGAAAATGATGGGAAAATCACCTCAGCAACAAGGGACCTGGGGTAAATCACCTACCAAGGTGAGTCAATGGCTCGTTTTACTCTTCATTGAATAGATTGTTTACATTTCACAACACAAATGTATTCTTAAGTACTGCAAGAAAATTCTACTAGATAAGGTTCCAGGTGGGTGTTTAAGTTTTGAAGTAGACCAACTCGGTATTATATTTCCTGCCGTAAAACAACAAAAAAAAAGGTTGAATTTACATACAGATATCCATCATGTCAAGTTTAGAAGTTAATCATTTTTTGCAGAATGCCATTTATTGTTTTCTATTCAGACCAGTGCTTGTTTTTGTTTTTTAAAGGTTTCGTTTGGCACTTGACTTTCCCTCCCACTAAAACATAAGTGAGCCTGCCCTTAATCGAGCATGCCACTTGTATAATCATTGACTGTAAATCAAATTTTCCTGACATGTTCCATCTAAAAGTAAGATATTTTGGTACATGGCCAAAGCACTGATCCATACCTAATGTAAATTGGGAAAACATGTTTTTCATACCAGGCTGATGCTACTGCTATTTGGTGTGTCATAAATCTTCTTGTTCCAGTCTGTGTGAAGTCCAAAGTAGAATCGACTCACTGAAAGCTGATCTGCCATGTTAATAAAATAAAAATAAAAGCGCAATGCTAATTGACAAATTTGGGCATCATCATCTGGTTGTTTATTTTATTCCCTGTCCTTAAATCTTATAAGATTATTTAGACAGTTGGTGATGAAATAGGGAGATATGTTCAGTGATTAAGTACTTTGGTGGGTGTGGTAGTGGTGTTAGTTACACTGGCATGCCAAACACTGGTTGGGCATGTTTTGAAAGTAACATAGTTGAATTTGTTTTTTTTTCATTTTCAACTGATACTTAGGTAGCTATATACAGTGTTTAGCAAATTGAGTAAGACGTACTGTTTAAATGTATACTGTAGCTTTGTTGTGTGTCCCTACTAAATATCTGAACATGGTGGATCTGATTTACATTGAATAGGGCTACTAATTTGCATGTTTAATGATATTTGTTGTATCCACCCTCCATGTCCTGAGATTAGTATCAACATCAAGTCAGTTATAACATATTTTGAGTGCTGCTTTCACATTTAACCTTACACATGCAGCTTCAAGTTCACTGTTATTTAGGTCCTGCACCCATGACTGATCTGGAACGCACATGTTCAAGTTAACGAAAATAATATAATTCTTTTTTCGCATAGTCAGTGGCATCGTTCTTTGGAATCAGCATAATACCAACAAAGTTACTAAATTAACCGAATCAGGATATTAAAAACAAATCACTTCTCACTGGAGCTCTAATAACTCCTGTTACAGGAATAAATAAATAAACCAGAGGAACTTCTCGGAAGCCAATCAGGGTTGGTTTTGGCATATTTCAACGCCGCCCCTTTGCGTCAAATTTTCCTGATTACGTCTGGATTTCTTTTGTTTTAAAACTCCTACTTAAGCTGCTGACTAACCTTCTCTTACATGACTTGTAAACGAAGTATTCCGTGGGTGATCCAAAGGATTGCTTTTCACCTACTAATAGATCATAATTTGTGTGTTTATTTTACCAACCCAATCGCTTCAGTTAAATTTAACCCACTATATAGCAGCGACGGCTTTTCTTTCTGACATCATGTCATTTTCAATTTGTTAGGCGCAATTAACCAGCCCCCATCCCATCAACAACATAGGGGGCCCAGACCTGTTGGTGCTTGATATGTCAAAGGTGTTGTGTTTGTTGTTGGCCTGGCTGTAAACCATGCTGTTTGTGACGACGTTCAGTGGTTTAGCTTGTACACATTGCACACTCCCTATCTGTTGTAGGGTGTATTAGTTACATATCATCTTAATATGAGTACAGCTGACAGTGGCTGTAAACCGCTGTAGCTAAGAAACATTATTATTTCACTACTCAACCTTCAGTTGAGTCATTTTTATTACTAAGATAAGTGGTATTAAGGTATAATATAATTTGGTAGCCGGCTGTTATACAATCCCTGCTCTGTGTTTGCATACATTGTGTTTATATGGTTGATTTCTGCTGACCTTTTTGTCTATCAGAAGCACACATAACCAATACATTAGATTTACTGCATACTGGCTTAAAGTGAAAAGACACAGCCGACTGTAGTCGGCCGACAGGGTGTTAGACGTGTATTATCGGTCGTGTAGATGCAACTGTTTGCTGACAGATGTTATTACATGCTTCAATTTTTGTATTCAGTTGGCAGACTTTTAAAAAACTGTCAGCTATGAACAATTGGACGTGTGATTTCACATCTAGTAAATCGTCAAATTTTATAATCATCAAATTTGAAGGCATTTCTGAAATCAAAATTTCGCTGTCACTAGCTGTCTTAAAATCCAAAATGCTATAGTCGCTGCTACAAATACTGTGTTTCTCTCTTATGCATGAATACTCAAAAGTAAAAGCAGTTTACATTATTTTGTTCTTACACCTATTTCTCTAAATTATAGTAATTAGTAAATTATCTGTGTTTAGTTTAGTTTTAATTTGCTGATTTATATACATAACACTGATTTTCACTTGAATTTTTATTTTCTTCTAGACACCAACACTGCAGAGACCCAGACACCTTTTTTATCAAGGTGGAACTGTCAATACTAGTCAAGATGAAGGCGAGGATTATGATGTGCCACCAACAAGATATCCACCAAATTTTCAAATGACTTCAGCTGACTCACAGGAAATGTACGATACACCACGAAGCATGGCAGTACAACAAGAATCCCCCGAGCAAGAGCTGTATGATGTACCCCCCAGCCATCACCTGGAAGGAAATTTACCGACTGAGATTTATGATATACCACCAAGTCACGGTTACCCAACGGAGCTGTACGACGTCCCACCCAGTCATCATCCTACTGAACCTTATAACCATTCACAAAGTCATATTGGTAAAATACCAACTGAAATGTATGATGTCCCACCAAGGCATGACTTTCCTGCTCAGGGGTCATACCCAGAGGAGGTGTATGATGTACCTCCTGAGCATATTAAGTCACTTAAACCAACGAAGACGACAGCGTTACCGGATCATTTGGAAGAAGACTATGATGTGCCAAATCCATTCTCTGATGGTTCAGAAACATATGACGTTCCACCTTCAGTTAAAGGTGGACAGTACCCAGAGGAGTTTTATGATGTTCCTCCGAAACATCTTGCGGCTGATTTATATGATGTCCCGAAAAGTATGGGAGTTGTAACGGTTAACAAAAATGACAACGATGACGATTATGTTTATGACGTACCGCCTCAGGTTACTCGAGACAGGCAAGATGTGATTGGTACACCTGGTACCCAGTCCATCATAACTAATGTCAATAGCAGTATGAGCGGACTTTCAGTTAGCGAATGCAAATTACTGCCAGCCAGGGAATTGAACATTGATTTAGATGCTGCAATGGACATGTTAGTAAAATTACAACAGCGAGTTGCATCTTCAGTATCACATTTACTGAGTTTTGTTAGTAGCAGCTGGAGGCGGAGATCTAGTCTTGAGCCGAAGATTTATGAAATCAGAGCTGCATGCAACGAAATTAAAACAGTTCTACGGGACATAATAGAATTTGGACGAGGTGCTGCTGTTAACTCGGCCAAAGCTACTGATTATAATTTGCAAAGAAAGCTGAAAAACATGTTGCAGCCTTTAGAAGACACTCTGATTGTCATCAGTAAGTCTTGGGATGCTTTAGAAGATATAAATTGGCAGGTCACTAAATTATGCATGACGGAAAGCCTGAAGACTCCCGATGATTTGGATCAGATTGTGATGTGTGCCCGCAGCATGCCCGATGATACCAGGCAATTGACTTCAGTGATTCATGGTAACTCAAATTTGATATTCAAACGAGCCAGACAGAATAGCAATTCTCCTGTTCAATGTCGCCCGCTTCCTAACCCACCAGGATCTGTCGGGCAAATCGCAAGGGTTTCACCAAGGGTATCGCCTACTGCAAGCCCGATTCCCTCTATGAAACTTAAATCCAATTGGATGAAAAATGAAGCTGAGAAAGAGATGCCGCTGGCAAAGGAGCAAATTCAGACCCAACAGTTGGCACACGAACCTGGAAAACCAACAGGTTCTCCAGAAAAGTCAGAAAAAGCTCATTACGGGAAAGGTTGGCTGGATGACTATGATTATGTGCATTTAGAAGGAAAAGAAGAGTTTGAAAAACGACAAAAAAAAATCCTGAATGAAGAAGGTGATGTTGTGAAACAGGAACAGCTACAGCAGCACCAGAAAAAACAATTTGAAGCACTTGAGAAAGATGCTACGAAATCAGTCGATATTGATCCATCTAAGTGGACACCCCCTCAAAGCAATAGACAATCAATTTTAGCAGCCAATGATAAACATCTTTTAACATTCTATGCAGATCAAATGAACGAGTTGGCAACATCTTTGAACAATGCCATTGATGCCTTTTTCAATGCTGTAAAAACCAACCAACCCCCAAAGATGTTTGTAGCTCATGGCAAATTTGTGGTACTCTGTGCTCACAAGCTCGTATTTATAGGTGACACGCTGTACCGAAATATTAGCAACACTGACGTGCGAAACAAAGTTATGCACTGTACTGACTGTTTATGCCAATGTCTGAAGGTCACTGTTTCGGCCATCAAAACGGCTGCACTTCAGTATCCATCCATCCAAGCCATACAGGAGATGGTTGATCGGGTTAGTGACATTTCTCACGGCTCACAAAACTTAAAATCTATGGTGTTTCAGTCAGCTTCGCTGTAATGTCAAGCCTTATAATCTAAACACATTTCGGATTTTAACTATAATATTGTATAAAAAATGGATAGACGGAGCGGTGTTAAGATTGTATCATTTGCCATGTGACACAGAAAATAAATAGTGCCGAGAAACAATTTTGCTGTGCTTTAGATCTTGTGGGATTTTTCTCTTGGGTCTCATTAAATGCCATTATCGAGATTCAATACTTGAAAAGTCGTACTGTGTATGTGTGTAATAACTGCTTCAATCGCCTTAAGTGTTCTGATCTTGGAGTATCAGACAAAAAGTCAACATAGCAGGTGAAAACATTTATCGATGGAAGTGTTTCTGTGTGTTCTCAATTTTGTCCACCTTTCTTGGTTCCGTAGTACGTACATAGCATGAAAGATAGTTGTAAATGAACAGTAGTCACTGCTGTAGTTTTGTTAGTATCAGATTACTTCATGTTCTTGCTCATATTTAGAATTATTGCTGATTGCATGATTTTAGACATCCTCTGCAGTAGGAAAGTATATGAAATGTTTTTACTGTGGCAAATAGAACTTCCTATGTAGTTGATTTGCATTACATGTGTATGTTTATATTCAGGCTTGTACTTTTCCTCTGGAATACGAACACTGTTTTAAGATCACTTGTCACTACCACCACTACACGTCGGATTAAAGCCTCGATATTGTTCTCTTTACTGTCCATTTCTGATTTTTATAATAAACAACATTTGGGACTTAATTGTAATGATTTTTTTTTTATATATGTAAAGATGTTATTTAATACAGGCTTTATCAGACATTAATGGAGAAGTTATTTGAAAATTATTTTTTTAACATCAAATTATTTCAATTTAGTATATATATATATATATATCCTTTAATTTTAATTTGTTTCTCTTCCCTAGTGAGTTGTAATTATGAAACGCTTTTAATTTTCATTAAATGTTTTTTTTGTTTGTGAAATTGCAAAGCAGTTGGAATTCTCAATGTTGTTTACTTTTTCTTTTCTTTATTCTATCGTGGTTTTTACTTTCTTTCTCTCAGCATATGACGTGCTTTCCACAACTATGTGTGAAAACAATTCCAGTCTTTTTTTTATATGGATGAATGATGCAAAGGGATTTTTTTTTTCTCCCTTGAATTGTTAAAAAAAAATGTTCTTTATTGGGATGTATTGGAGAAACAGTCTGTCTAGTCAATACTATGTGGTAAACCAAAGGAGCGGGGAGACTCCAACATTCAGTTTGTCGGCGCTCATCACCATCACCAGACAACTTTCCATTAGTATATTTCTCAATTTGTATAGCCAGACATGTAAAAGGTCCCATTATAAAATTTTGAATGTGACTTGGTGGAGCTGTTACCTGTCTTGTAAACAAAATTGGCGTCTGGTCTGGTATAATTGGCTTTTAATTATGCTATTAAAAGAGATCTCTTTCTTGTTCATGAGTATAATGTTGTTTGTTACTGTCTACCGCTGAATTTTCAGCTGCCAAACATTTTCTTAACTTTGATACCATATTTGAAGACTAAATCCCAAATAACTCCTGGGAAATTTTCACTGCTACAAAATCAAATTGTAAGTCAAATAAAACAGTTGAAGTTCTTGGAATTCATGTAAAATTATGACACAGACCAAAGTGGAAACCAATGATTCTTGAATTTTCAAAGTGGTGCTATACTCGCTGACAAAAAACTTGTACTCAGTATAAAATTGTTTTTTCAGGAAAAAAAAAATAAAAAACATTTCCATCCAGAAATTTGGATATTTCACACAGCTCTAACAAAATTTACCTTGAACTTATAAGATTTCGACCAATTATAATTCAATGATGGTGGTGGGTGAAAGAACTGAACAAATCTGTAGCGACACATGAAGTAAAACATTGTTTTTTACTTTGCACACACACTTTCAGGCTGCCTCTGTTTGTTTGGTTAATCCCTTAGCCCCTTTACTCAAGCCTGTATTGAATTGGTTAAAGCCACATAATTTAATAATAAAAATATGTATGCAAATTACTATCTGCAATATTTAAAATCATCTTCCTACTGGGAAATCGACAGTACTTAATTGTTGCTAGCATTGGTATTTTTATTTATTTTTTTTTTTACAATAATTGAAATTTTTTTTTTATTGTGAAGCCTATACTTGCAGCTGAAATTCTACTCCCAATTGTATTATTCCTGTGTTTTGTCAGTCAAGGTCAGGTGCTTTGTGTAGAATATTTATACCACAGGTTGTTCATTTAAAATATGTGTATGCAGATTAGTAAACAACTACAGTCTTGTATGAAGGATCTTGTAAATTAACCATATTTTGGTTACAACTTGGAACTATTATATTAGGAGATGAGTTAAACTCCTTCCTCAGCTATTTAACAATAAAAGGATAGGATTCAAATGCACTTCAGACACAAAGAGATGCCTATGGTCCCCAATGTCTGAGGTATTGCCTTCAGTCGCAAATGCTTTATAAACTGCTGACCACAACTGGCATTTACGAACAAATGCGATATGCAAGTTTGTGAACTTAATTAGCCCGAGTATCCACGCATTTGTGGTTAAACCGTCTTTGTGTCTATGTTTTATGTATAGATCTAAAATCATGGGACATCTTTTTGGTTGTGATGATCATTATAATTAATATAGACTTTGCTATAGAAATCTCCCAGTTGTATTTTTATTTAAATCCATGTGGACAGTTAAATGTGCTTCTCCTATATGTAGTTGTATCTTTTTTTCTGTGTACTATTGTATGTACATGTCAGTAAGGTGAATAAATTGGGTATGTTTGCAGAAAAAAACCCCGTCTCAAGTGCTGTGGTCTTTGAGTGATTGAAGCCATCTGTGTCCCAGATGCCTTGGGGTGTAGAATCAAAGTAAATCCTCCATACCCAGCAACACATACCGTATTTGCTCTATTAGAAGCGTTCACATAAATGAGGGTTCATCTACGTGAGAAACGTGCCATATGTTCCAGTAGACAATAAATGGTTTATATATATATATATATATATATATATATATATTTTTTTTTTTTTTTTTGGCCTTGTATACAACTAAAAGTTCACAAAAATAACACTTAAAATAATATTGTCTCTTAATTTGGAACCATAGAATATATACTTTAATACAAACGAGTTATGAGAATTTAAAAGTGAAACAAGCGTTAATTGTAATGGGTATTTGTAATAGTAAGGAGGGGGATAATATTTCTCTCAAGTGTTTGTATAATGGACATCCGCAACGAAAATGAAATTCATCTTCCACTTTCTGTTAAGCACATAAAGTGCAGATTCTTCTTCCTCCGGGAATATTTTCCACCCTATCACTATTGATGCGCAATCTGTGACAAAAAACACGAAATCTGGATAGGGAACAAAAATTGTTATCAATAAAGAACAGATTATTAAAGAATTGCAGCCTGAATGACCATTGTTGTGCAGCAATATCAGACGATCTTTGGATAAAGGCGGGTACAAACATATTTACATTGCCAACCCCTTGTATATCCCAGGCCATACTGAAACCAAAACTAAACTAAACAGTTACTTTACATTACAATACAATACAATAATACTTTATTATCACCGTAAAGAAATTACAATCTTTTTTGGGCTCTTAATAATAAAGTTAAATTAATAAACATGAACACAAATTAATTATAGTATAAAAAAAACAAAGAAAGTTACTAAATGCTTCTTTTCAAGTTTGCATTATCAATGTATATGCCCAGCATCTGTAACCCTTTTCGGCCATTTGAAATTGGTAAATATAATGGCCTATATTATAAAGCATCTTGTCTAGGATGTTTAACCAGTATCTAAAAATAAATAAATGGTTTATGTGTACATTTAACAAAAGAATGTGGTATGCCTAAAATGTGGTTCACTTCGTGTGCCTTGTACGTTTGTATTACAGTGTTCAGATCTTGCCGAATTATTCCAATCTATTAAAGGGGCACTTCCAGTTAAGCCTAATCTCATAACAAATTTACTTTAGATTTAGATTAACAACATAAACAACAGTGTCCCATGATTCTTTAGTGCAATCCATGGGATTGAGCGGTTCCCCTTTAAATTGAAAGTTCATGAATATGTAATGAATAGACCAATTTTGAGTTCTTGTGTGACTGCATACCAGTGCTATTTTGCAACAGAAGTGGGCTGATTTATAGCCAGTTAGGGTAGGGTTGTTGCAGTCAGTTATTCTAAGACTGTACTTTATTAATATCTCTTGGTAAGGAATGACCACTACAAAATCAGGGAGGGGAGATAAATGTTTGCTTTCATTAATCATTTTTTTCCTGGCAATTTTATACACCCCCTTCTATTTCTAATGGTCGACCCTTAAAGTAACTGTTGAGAGATAAAGGCTTATACCAATCTGTCTCTTTAAAGATGGAAGGAATGTGTTATAACCGTTTCACCACCAGTTCCCTCTTTTCATCACAAATTCACAAAATAGTTCTGCTTATAGTCTGCACTTTCCTTCAAAAGATTGGGACAAAAAAAGGGAATTTTTTTGAGTAAAAACCGATAATTGACTAAAATTTTGTCTATTGGCTCCAAAATTAGAGTTCATTTTTCAAAATATTGTAAAATGTTAGAAAAAAAGTTCAGACAAATTTGGGCGAAAAAGTCTGGTGGTGAAAAGGATATACTACACATATTTGAAAGATAATCTGAATGCCTGCAAAAAAAAATCAAAATGTCACAAAACTGAAACTATATATTTTTGATGTCTGAAATTTAAAAAAAAAATATTACGAAGAGGATTAAGTAGCACACTTTGAAGTAAAAGTACCAATAAGTACCAAAAGAACAATAAAACATTGTTTGTATTTGAAAATGGTTTGTCAATCCAAACCTAGGGAGTGTAGATAATTGCTTGCCCATGATGCATAGCAGCTTATCAAGTCAATGATAAAATCTGATAGCTACAGGGCAACCTAGATTAGTATAAACTCTATTCCAGAATATTTTTCTGAATATTGCTTTTGATTTATTTGATGTTCTGTGGGTTGTGAGATTGTGTGTGATCTGACAGTCATGTGACATTCTCGTTGCCTGATATTGTAATATAGCACAATGTATAAAGCAGTGAGTTAATTACAAAGGAAG